ATTATTCTGTTTGCCAAGAAGTCCTTTGTCTGAAAAGAAACACCAAAAGATCTTAGCATTCCCTGGCCACCGGTGGAGGTGTTGAGACCCAAGTTGCAGCCGAGCCACCGTTGGTGGGAAGTCCTCCAGGTGAGCCCGACACGCCAAGGTCAGCAAGGCCTGCATGGCCATGAGATGCCATGAGTCAAGCCAGCATTCTGAACTAACCGAAGCAAAGGCCATTTGGTTTGACCTTTCTACTGTACAGAATGGACAAAAAGACATAAATAAAGAAGATGCTACAAGAGCGGCTCAAGATGTCAGCTTGAGAAGCATGCATAGCAAACCGTGTGCCGTTACGAAAAACGGTCAAACTCATTGCTAGCAAAGCCTCCACAAACATCTCCAAGGATAAGCCTGTCTCGAAGCGCGGCACCTCTTCCTGACGGTCCGAGAATTGTCAAGTAAGGCACTTGTTCCTAGTAGCGATGCACTTGTTACTCCTAGCTTCTTGTTACTACTAGTAAGGCACCTGTTACTACTAGCGTGGCACTTGGTACTACTGCTTCCTTGAATTGTGCTTTCATAAAAGCGAACAAAAGTTACTAGTAGCGATGCACTTGTTCCTAATAGCTTCTTGTTACTACTAGTAAGGCACTTGTTACTAGTAGCGAGGCACTTGTTTCTACTAGCTTCATAAAAGCGAACAAAAGGAAGTGATGTCGGAAATCATTGGACTGTGCCGACCTAACTTGTTTGAGCCAAGATCGTCCAAGGAGCAAATTGGTTTGCGAAGGCATGTTGCATCTTCACCTGGCAGCGCGAACTTCTGCGGAGTCCACGAGTCCGCTAGTCAACTCACGGCTTGAGCTGCTTCAAGTCTTGTTTACACAGGTGATGAAATGAAACGAGGGACGAACAATAATGACAGAAACATGACGAGGAGAAATAAAGTAGGCTTTCGTTGTTCAAGCTCGCCTCACATTACATGTGAAATTAGAGTGCACAGGAGGTCGTCGTATCATCCAGCACTTCGACTACATCAGGTTGACGTGCTCGCGACGTTGTCAAAGCCTCATTGTAGACCTCCTCCACATCCAGGGAGCTGAGCCTCAAGACTGGGATGAAAATGCCACAGCTTCGGCATTGAGTCATTGAGCCATTGCAACTCATCGAGATTGAATGTCAACAAATGTGAACAACATACACCCTGCAAGGACCTGCAAGGACTCAACCACCAACATCACTAGCCACTCGAGTGCAACAAGTGCTGTATATTCGAGCTTCTTGATCACACGCTACGCACATCAACATCTCAGCAAATCTGTGCATTCAAGTAAATTTAGACCAGCTTGATGCCCTCGCATCAATGGTAATCTTTCTTTGGCACAAAAAGTGTTCATCACAAGCAGGAGCAAAACAAACATATGCATGCCAGGGACCGAAGCACGTACAGGCGACAGTCACGGTAAAGCTTCATCAAATGTCGCGGGCTTACCACCAGGACCTTGAACAGTTGAACAGCCATTGTCTTCTTCTCGACTAAAGGGAGTGTTGTCATGGCAATTGTTGGAAATCACCAAAACACAAACACACACACAGCATGGATTCTGATTCAGCTTCAAGTCAAGTACTTGGTGAGGCACATGCGCTGCTTCGATAGTCATTGATGAGGTTGCAGTCCTTTAGCATGCAGGCCAAATCATGAGGAGGGGCCTTGCCAACCCGATACTGATCCATGAAGTTAATTGACATTGATTGGGACACTCAACATCGAATCCATCCTATCTCCGCTTTCTGTTCTTGGCTCTGAAAAGGGAATGAATGACCGGGATTTCGTGCCCTCCACCATGTTCACCATGTTCTCTTTTGTCATGTAGCAAAAGGCTTTGTCATCCTTCGTCTTCAGTATGGGAGACATCTGCTCGACATGTGGCTGGACAGGACGGACCACGACCACGCTATCCTGGCCTGGCTCTGGTGTCCGACCTTGGAAAGCACGAATGAAGGAGAACACGCAAACAAAATCAAACAAATGTGCAAAGTGGCTACAAAAAGAGCTCGATATGCATCACCTTCAGAAGCTTGAGTCTGCGGTTGGGTCAAGTTCTTGCTGATTCGGATGCCGATTTGGATCTGCTAGAGATTTCTGGAGTCTCTTTGGGGAAGACCTTGGAAAAGCTCCACTGTGTATGGTCAAAACAGAAGACTTTAATGACAGCCATGGGGCTCCAGAGTGTGGCATTCACGAGCATATTGCCGGAACCTGAGAAAAGGCATCGAGAGGACACTGAAAATCCTGCTTGTCTGGTTCTCAAATGGGATATTTGGCTGTCATAGCATTGTAGAATCTGCAATCATCCATATCATGGTTTATGGATGCAATCATATAATGAACACGAGAAATTCAAGGGATATTGGAAAAAGCGCTTCCAGTGTAGCCCTGAATGCACTTGCTTCGTCTTCAACTGGAGAAGAATGGCCAAGAAGGATAGCTCGTCATTCACGGTCTGTTTGCAGTGGCTATGGACCTTGCAAGCAGGCAAATTCATTATATACACCGAGCCAGGCTACACATCGCGGAAGGTGGCGATATGCTTCTTAAGCACGTCCTGCGTGGCGTGGTCATGCATCCTACTACTTTTTGCAGGGAACTGGGCCCCCTCGACAAGCTTCTGCGGTGAACCAATCTTGAAGCTCAAACAAATCACACCAATTGTTTGAAAGGCCGCTCAGCCCTCCAACCTGAAGCGATGGCCTCCAACCTACGCAGTCCTCCAACCTAGTAGCGATGGCCTCCAACCTAGTAGCGATGGCCTCCAACCTAGAAGCGATGAAATAAACGTCTGCTGAAGCACCCTTAACATCCCCCACATGCTCTGTCCTCCACTGCAGTTTTGACCTGGGCCGCAAGCTCACTTGATAGACTAGGTGCTTCTGCGCATTCTTTCCTCGCGATTAGTGGCTTCCAAGAACTCTTCGCGGCTCTTCAGTTAAATGGAATAACACTAGAATTACTTTTCTGGGCACCACGATCTGCACATGTCGGCATATGCCATATATGTGTTGAGCATTAACGGACGACATATTTCGCATATCCAAATACTGGAAATCCACTCTTGAGAGAAAGGATGTTGAGCGGACTGCAATTGTGCCCAAAACTGCCCAAAGCATCATAGAAAAACATCATTAAAGTATGCTTATATACATATCTTACATGGAACGGTTTAAGCCGGTTTGAGTTGCACGTCCTCGAATCCTCAAGACCCCGGGCTAAGTCTGCCGAGAGCAAAGAGGCCTGCTCACCTTGTCAGCGCAGCGGCCAGCGGGAATGGCACAAAGTACGAATTCGTTCAATCGAAAGTGAGAAGCAACATGTCAAAGATCAAAGCCTTTCCAAAGGAGTCAACATCAGCAGCTCAGCTCACCCAAACCAAAAGAATACACGTTTGAAACAGCAGTCGCGGTGACGGGTCTGAAGGGCCTGAAGGCCAGTCACTTGAAACAAAGGCCTTTGCTTAAGCCTGAAGGATTTGGGTGTCTGGAAGGGTCCTGCAGCCTGAAGGCCTTTGCAACAACCCGAAACGAAGTTTCAGACAAATTCTACGATTGAGCAGTCTCACAGGCCTTGTGATGATATCCTGGGCCGGAAGCAAGAAAGAGACAAAAGAACAAGTTGATGCAAGCATGTGGCAAATGGATCATGCAAGAACAATTGGCAAATGTGAACTTTGTCATACCATGATATACATGTTTATATATGCACGTGTAATATATGTTCATCTGACCACATCACACCGCTGGTGACAGCTTCCTTAGCAACATCTCATCACAAATGACCACTGCCCACTGCTGTTTGTACTGCCCATTCTCATCACCATCCGTTCACCATCTGCTCTTCTGCTCAAAGAGCCTTTGACACTCAACATCCCTTGCAATATGTCACACCAACACTCAAATGTATGCTGAAACCCGCTTTGCACGCCCTGGCCTGGCCTGCCCATCTCTCTAGAAATCGTGGCCTTGCCCCAAGTCGAGCACCATAAAATGCATGTTTTCTTTAGAACGCTCCATTTGAACATCACGTGTTCTTTGAAAATCTTTCAATCAGCTGGTTTCCACTAGTCTAGTCGTTGCGTTTTTTGAGTGCGACCTGGTGGCCGCTTTTGAGACTGTCCATACACATTACGGTTGCAAATTGCAGTCGTCGAAGGGTTAACCGGCCAATCGATGAAAGATACAGTGATGCGGTTGCCACCTCTGCCAAACACCCCACCTTGCCTGGATGTTGCTGCTGGACACCAAGTCTCCTCGTTGTCCCTTTGGCAGCTGTTGCGCAAGTTCCAACATGTCGCAGGGCAAACCTGAAAGTATGGACCATTTTCCAATGACAAGGACACAATTTTGTTTGGGCAGGTGTCTGTGGAAGATATCCCATGTTGAAAATTTTCCCAACATGAGTGCCTAACAAGAATGTGTGCAAATTCACTCGCAAAACTGAATTGGGAGGAGGGTTGTTTTGCTCGAAGACGAACAAAACAAAACAATACGATTTGGTGATAAGGTCCATGAGGGTCCTGGGACGTCACTGCGGAAACCTCTTCTTGGTTCTCATGTCTTCGACCGGTGACATGGGACGCCTTGCATTTTCTTGAAAAATGGTGGGAAAAACCCACGTTCTTTCCGATGCAACAGTACGGTGCTGTGCCTTTTCGTATTTTTGTTTTCGCTGGTGGCTTTTTCACGCTTAAGCTGAGAATAGCCACAGTTTCTGTCGAAACACTACAGGTCACTACAGCGGAAATGCGGAAATGTCACTGCTTTGATGTATCCCTTCGGCTGTTACAACTCCAACTGCAGCTGCGTGTTCCTGCAGTTGCGTGTTGACACCCACATCACATAAAGAGTCCTTACACCAGTGAAAAAACTTTGCGTAGCACTTGGGTGGGTTTGGTATGTTGGCAAATGTCTAAGTGGTTACACTCTGGTCACCTGAGTCCTCGGCCCTGTGACCTTTTCACCAGCATCTTCAATGCAAAGGACCTGTGCAGGAGAGGACCAGCTGCTGCAAGGCACGGTGGAGTGCTTTCCGACACTCATCATCCTCAAGACCAACTCTGTGCCGAATGTTGCGGCCAATTGCCAACCTGTAGCACACTAAAAGGCACATCATCTTATCTTGAACATCGTGGAACCTCGATCCACTTCACAATAGGTTCAGGCTAAACAAACCGAAGTCCTCCCCAGGTCCCCAGCAACTTTGAAAGTTTAAGTTCGTTGTACTCATGCCGGACAAGATCTTTGTCCCGATACATTTAGGTATTTAACCCTGCTGCACCGCCCTGGACTTTGACGTCCTTGAGGGCTCAAAAAACAAACAATCAAACGACAAAGTCCCGCCGAAGCTCTTGCGCCCACGGAAACCATTCTCTGACCGCCCGAGAAATACAGAAGGACAATTCAAAGCGAGCAGGATGTTCTTGTCAGGCGGCGGCGGAGGTTTTTGCCTCGAATAACTTCTGCCAAACTAAGCATCAATTCAATTAACCTTGTGGCTTAGGCGCCGAGCGCAATCCCTTTCTTCAGCACCTTTGTTTTCTGTCTTCAGCGCCGTTATGTTCTTTCTTGACTCGGAAGCTGGCTCATCTCCACATTGGGTTCGAGAACCCGCCACTCCGACCGACCTCCAGTCATGTCACATCTTGCAAACACCGCGCAGGGGGACGGGCAACTGGGACGAGGTAAGATTTTGCTTCAAAAGCAACGCGCGCGGGAAAATTTGCGTTTTGCCGCTCGCAGCAGCGGCGCTCTCCTCCTCATTGGGCTGTTTCGCACATGGCATAGGTCAGGTTGTCGACATAGCTCCACATTCCGCGCTCAAGGATGCGGTACGTGCGATCCAGTGGTGTGAGCTTCGCGCAAGCATCCACCCACATGTCACGGCGGCGGTCGACTTCGACTGTGCGTGGGCAGGAAAGCACCAAAGCAATTATGCCCGTCAGGTCGAGCCACATGCTCCAGGAAAGAAAGGGACAAGGCGCACACCAGGTCATTGAAGGCACAAGAGGCTGCCATGCTACTGGGCGGGACCTGTTGCTGGTTGAAGCAGTGTAACAGCGGAGCGCGCCGATCACCTCTATGTCCTCGTCGATGTAGCGCACCGGCCGCGTGCAAGTTTTTGAACAACCTGCAGCTGACTGTCCTCCAGGGGTCTCCTCCCTTGCAACACGTGGTACAGCCCGCCACGTTTGTCCAAGGATGGCCTGAGCGCATTGAGCAGCTTGCCGATCCCGCTCAAAAAGGTCGAATTCTTCTCCTCTTTGGCTGCGAGGTTGTATTTCTTGGTGCATTGGATGTCAAATCCGGTCAACCACCAAGACATCTCTCGCCTGAGCGACCTCCAGGTCTGTGGGCTCCGTTCCTGCATTGGCGTCCTTCTCATCGACCTTCAGTGCACTGCCAGGTTGCCTTCCTCAAGGAGGCGAAGTGAAAGGGCAAAGCAAGCAAAATCTGAAATTCCTTTCCTGGAGCTCGATGTTTTCCAAGCGCGTGCTTTGGAGCGCCCACCAACCACCAAGGAAGTCTGTCAGCACTTCGGCAAAGAACGCTGCAATGTGAAAGTCCTGAGCAGTCCGGCCACATGGCCGGTCAACCAAGCCAAGGCACACGGTGGCCATCAGCAGCAGGTGTGCGCAGCGGCGCGCATGGCCCGAGCCGAACCAACTGGGCTCCGGTGCCACTGAGAGAGCATGAAATGGCAGGACGCGCTCCAGGTCTTTTTCACCAAGAACAAAAGCAGTAGCCTTATGGCTTATGTGAAAGCACGACAAGATCGATCAACCCTGCACGTTCGAGTCAAGTCCAAAATGAATGTTTCTTCAATCTTGGTACTCGGTCCAGTGCCGGGAGCTTGTCCAGCCTCATTTTGCCCTTCACGGCTTCGGAGATCTTTTCATGTGCCCGCATAGCTTCCAAGGAGCTCCTCGTGATGAAAGGAGGGGGTGTTGAAGCAAAAAGGTAATATAAGGTAATAGGATCTACGATTCTACAATGGACAACTAACTAATAGAAACCTGACTGCGAGGAGTCTGGGTCAAAAATCCGAAGCAAACCTGCTGCGCCACCCATGTCCGTCTCAATTGCATTTCAACTGCAGTTGGTGAATGCCAAACGAAGACCAATTGAAGTGCCGAGTGTTTCCGATCCATGCCCATGCCGGGAAAACTTAAGAAGCCACTGGTAAAGACACGTGAGATCGCGGAAATATTATTTGCACCATGGCACGGCAAATGTTCACGTCTGTTGCGAAGGTAGGTGCACAGGTTCTGCACGGACTCTGTCTTGGCTGCCTCAACATGCTCGGTGCACATCTTCCTGGAAGGTTGGAGGCCATCGCTAGTAGGTTGGAGGCCATCGCCAAACCAAACGAAGTGACCTTATTTAACTAATTGCTTCTAAGGATGCCCCCGCTTCAAGGATGGTCGGGATGGTGTCCACCGAGCAAAACTACGCTTCTAGTTCTCACAGTGCTCATGCAACGTCCGGCATACAAATCAAAAGCACCCAAACACGATGCCTTTAGCTGCAGGTTCGTGTTGGTGGGGCAACCCAACCACCTTGATGCTTCCATTCCTCACCCGTCACCTGGTTTTTGCCGGTGGTTGCCTGGCTTCGTAAGTCGGGGCTTCCTGGTTCGGTGTGACACTGGGAGGTTGGAAAAGACCGGAGGCTCCAGGATTCCTCACTCTGGTTGCTTCGACCATCCTTGGGGGCTCTTGAATCACTGGAAGGAAACAAACCTGCGGCGAAACAGTGGTCGCTCATTTCAAGATTCTACGATTCACTGGCGCCCTGAAACACGAGCTGCAACAATTATCAAAAATACACAAAGCAATGCAAAACAGACATGAAGCAACTCTGTTGCACTGGGTCTGTAGCGTCTTACACTCCTCACATTGCCTTCCAAATACCCAGCCTCCAGGACGATGGAGCTGAGCTGCTCCTCGGATAAAGAAATGAATCAAGCTGTAGGGTCTAATATCCAAAGCCATTGTGAAAAGGAAGAAACATGAAGGAAGAGAGGGAAGTGGTGCAAGGGCAAACAAAGAAAGACACCTATATAAGCCCTTACAAGAATGAAGCCGCCTCAAGTGCTGCCAATGCTCCATATGCCGCCCGGTGGACGTTTTTGCACCCACTGGCAAATGTGCACGATGCACCATAAGTTCAGCCAGGAAAGCGGCCATCCTTTGAACAAACACCAAATCGATTCTGAAATGCCTGTTCTGCGTGCCACAACAGCAAAAGCACAGCTTAATACTCTGAACACAAAGGTCAACGCATGTCTTAATGGTGGCTGGCACTGCGTTTTGCTCAAAAACCACAATATAGAGATGGACATCTTGATCTAGAAGAGGAAATCGCTCTTCACCCTGTCCCAAATCTTCGGCCCAGCGACATGTCGGTCTGTCCATCCCGCAACACCTCCTCTGTGAGGATCTGGTAGCCTGATGACCAACATCCGCAAATCATTAAACATTATTAAGTTGATAATGCAACAATATGATATGCGCTAAATTCTGGGCCTTGGGTGCCCTGACCAGCTGTTATCTGCCGAATGGTTCCAAACGCTTTACCTCTGTGAGTCCAACCACCTCCAAAAACACGATCGAACTCTAGCCATGTTCAAGCACTTGGAAGTGCTTGCAGCTGCAAAGCTGGACAACATGCCAAAATATGCCAAGAGGCTCGAACAGCGGTTTGCCACTGCCACCACCAATCGCAGGGTGGCGGCTTCCGTTGCAGCAGGGTTCGGTGCCATCTCCAGGCTTTTCTGCAACCAGCAGGGGAGAGTAGATTCACGACGGGCAGTTTCCGAAAGTCAGGCTATATCCAAGTGGATGATGCATCAAAGTGTCCAAAGGTTCAAAGTACCCAAACATATAAGTGACACAAAAATTTGGCACAAGTCAGGGTACCATGTCCTGTGTATTCACAAGGTGAGTTAGATTACCACCTCAAAGCGCCTCATCATTCAAGCTTGCCCAGCAGAATCGATTCCAATCCGGGGAACTTGGGCCAGTGTCTACTACGTAAGGCAAACCCTCAAAACCCTGAACTGAAGACAAGTCAATCAAGAAGGAAAATCCCAGGAGGAGGCTTCGTGTTTGAGTTCCGGTTTCCTTTTCCAAGCCCTGTGCAAATTCTCACTACTTACGACCTTTACCTTTACATACAAAGGCTGAACTTCAGCTGAACGCTAAGATTTTGCTAGTGGCTCAAATGGTCATCACCAGCAAGACAGGTGGTTAGTCAAGTATATGCCCGTTGCCTGCATATCCTCGTGGATGGTCATCACGTCAGGAGCCAACTTCGTGAGCAGTTCCAAAAGAATTGAAAGATCCTTTGAATGTGCAAGGCTTCTACGCATCATTTTGCAGTGAGGCTTGCATTGATCTTCTATAGTAAGATGGCATCTCCATCCATGAATCAAGTCATTGGTTTCTTACTTCCTCTCTTTCTGGAAGGGAAGTGCAAATCCTGGTTGCTCAAACAACCAGCAAAGGGCGTCACTTCCAAGAACCGAACTCTGTGAGAACCTGAAACAGCAATTGCCAATTCCGCCTGCACCAGCCTCTGCCCTGAGGAGATGGATGTCAATCGTCTGAAAAGATCACAGTAACAAAGTGTTGCTAAATTAATCCAAAAGGTCCAGCTCGTTCAAGTTCGGAAGCACGTTGCGTCCAGGTTCCTCCCCTGCAGCATTGCCAGCGATTCGATTCGGAATTGTCTTCCCAGCCGAGAAAGCAAGGGCAAGTGGTAGGAGACTCTGGCAAATTTGCTGCATTCTGAGAAGGGGAGAAGACTTGCAATGAACACATTTGTGTCGCTCAATTCTGATGTGCAAAAGACCTTGCGTTTGTAAGCCACACAGTGGCGCCTGTGGCTTCGACACTGCGAATCTCTTTCAAGTGAAAATTTGCCCAGCGCAGTAGAATCTCGTGCGCTGGGATCGTAAGCAAATCTGATTGGCCCTCCGGAGGTGCGCGGTTCGAAACAAGCAAAATGTATATAAGTCTTCTGCCCCGAAAAAAACCTGAGAAAACATCTCTAGAAATTTCTAGACTGTGGATCTCCATGGTTTTTCAAGTTTCTCGTGGCTCAAGACCTAATCACCTAATCATATGCAAACCTGTTTTGCCTTCCAACGCCCTGAGCACCGTCTAGCATGACCCTTTGCACTCGCGCCTCTTCTGGTTTCAGCAACGGGGAGAAGTCCTGCCAAAACCCCAACCAGTTTTCTAACGCCTTGAGTCTTGATGTGCACTCAGGACATTTGCAACCATGCCATGCGGTTTGTGGCCATTCAAGATCGTACCAGGATCCTAGATTGGAAACAACCCTGTACAGCATGACTCTTCCAATACCCTTGTACGTCAACCACGCGAATCAAAACCAAATAGAGAAACCTTAGCCAGAAGCATACGATCGGTACACCAATGACTACCAGGAAGGCTTGAGGATGAGGAACGTTTCAAGCCCAGCCTGAGGTCTCTCAATTGCCCAGGCACCCGCCAATGATTCAATCTGTGTGAATATGGACTTCGGTGCCGGATCTGCGTGCCTGAGTCAATCTAGTCAATCCGCTGACCTTTTTTTTTGTGAAGGGACAAGCAACTTGTGTTCTGTCGATTGTCGACCAAATATTCAATAAATGAACTTGTGTTTGTGGTTCTGTTCTACGTGTTTGTGTTATTGTTGTTGTTGTTGTTGTTGCTGTTGTTGTTGTGGTGGTGGTGGTGGTTGCTCTTGTTGCTTTTTGTGTGGGCTTTTGTTGATCCTTCAAGAACATTGAACATATTCCAGCTGTGTTGAGAATTAAAGAAGCCTGGCGGCGTCCCTGGCTCGACTGTAGTTGCCCGCTCTGCATCGTCAAGCCAGGCAAATACTCTCCTGGCCAATTTACTTTTTGAACGCTATGCATGTGTGCCTCAAACTTCTCAGAGACGACCCCAAAACCTGAGAAGTGAGGAGCGAAAGCCAGCCGCCTTTATATAAAGCGCTCCAAGTTGCATCCGCCATGACCTGCTTTGTCCAAGGTCTTAACGCTAGAACCTGCTTTTCGGAAGTGCCCTGCTTTCCCCGAAGACAGCTTTCAAACAAAGCGCACAAGGGCACCAAGAAACTCCTCCTTAAGGTCTTTCTAGATAGCTTGGTGCTAGCACTGTCCTGTTTTGTCCCGAGACGGCCTTTAAACACAACACAAACGCACCAACCCGGAAATGCGGCTTCATGGCTGTTTTGTTTGACGCTCTGCATCTTGTCTCTTTACATAGAAGTGCCTTTACACAGCTGCACCGGCAATCCGTTCCAACCGTGCCCTCCCTGCTTGGGACTTCTTGCTAGAACTTGCTTTTTGGAAGCACTCTTTTTTATTCGAAGCGGCCCTCCTCCTTAAGATCTGTTCCGGGAAACTCGGCGCTAGCGCCCACTTTCTCCAAGGTGCCCCTTTTTTGCCTCAAGGCGGCCTTCAAACACCCCGCAAAAGGGCACCAATAGGCGCAAGCATTGTTGCCGCATCCCGCTTTGTCAGGAGCCTTCTCGCTAGAACCTGCTCTTCGGAAGCATGGACACGGAGCCTGAATCTGAACGCTATCGCCCCCTTATGCCTTAAGGGCTTTTCTTCGACCCTCCGCATCTGGGTCTTTGTAAATCGCACTACCTTCCCTTTCATGCATGGCTTGACTTCACGCATGGCTTGACTCGAAGAACAAAAACAAACATGAATTTACAGCGCCACTCGAAACAAAACCACGCTCCCGATCGGTTGCTTGTTCAAACATGTTCAAGCAGACTGGCGCGCTCCTCTTGAATGAGCGGTCACAGCACTCGATCCGACACCGAGGTTCACCCACACATCCTGAACAGGTGATCTCTTTTCGCGAGTCCGACAGGATAGATGGTGACCTGCAACACATGGTTTCAGGAGCTCAATCCCGAGAACAAAAAATTGATCAGATCTCCACGACTGCTGACACACGAGCCTGGCCTTGCCTGCGCCTCGATGAGGCGAGTAGTCGGCCCCAGAGGGCAGGGTGGGCTTTCTCATCCTGGGAGCTTCTCGCCAAAATGGCATCCGGCGATCGAGCGATCGGCATCAGTCCTCTTATATGACATATGACAAACATGACTGAACATTTTTGTCACAAGTGACTAGTAAGTTCCTACCCACTGAACGAGCGCTATAGGAACGGGGTCACAGCACTCGAGCCGAGTTCAAAATTAGTGAGCACATTAAAGAAGGGGTCACCGAGGTTCGTCCACACATCCTGAACAAGTGATCTTTTCACGAGTCCGACAGGATAGATGGTGACCCACAACAAGTGGTTTCAGGAGCTCAATCCCCGGCGCTCCTTTTAAACAGCCGCACTTATGCCCTCGCACTGGGTCCAAAGGGCTGTGGCTGACCGCGGCCTGAGCATTCTCAGGCACTGGATCCATGTGCTGATGAGCCATCCTGTGGAGCTTCACATTCAACTCTTCCCCACGAGCCAGTGGAAGCAGAATCATCCCATCGAGCTGATGCCATGGTCATGGTCATCGGGCGCTCAAAAGCTGCTGAGAATTTGGATCCTCCAGCCGACATGGCTCGATCGCTCGCCCCAGGCCCTACAGAAAAAGACCTTCACGACTGCCTTTCTGATCCTCGCGAGCGATCGCCTCTTCTCGCCAAAATGGCATCCGGCGATCGAGAAATCGGGCATCAGACTCTTTATATGACATATCACAAACATGACTGAACACACAAACATGACTGAACAGGTTTGTCAGAAGTGACTAGTAAGTACCTACCCACCAACCGTCAACTTACCACTTGTAAATAATGATGTGTGGCATACTGCAACCGACTAGTTTGCCAAAGCACTCAAAAAAATGCCGTCATGCCCAGGCCATGATGCAAAAATGCATCAACCGTTGCGGCATCACTCCTCCACCAGGCTCTGGGTTCACCCTTTTGTATGCCTAACAGAACTTCAGCCTAGCCTATCGGCTGGCTTTCGTAAAATGAAACCTCCGTGGCCTCTCTCGGGTCATATTCTCATTTACGTCTCTGCTCCACTAGGGCCTGGCAGGGCAATTGATCAATGAATCGCTTTCTCCGGACATCAGCATACATAGTTGAAGAATCTGGGTCGACGCAATCGTCTAAAGAAACCATAAGATTGAAATTTGCACTGAGTATGAGTATCAGCATCTTACAGGCGTGCTGTGCGTCGCCAAGGGAAAGACCAAACAAATCAATTGCAACAGGGGTAGGCAAGCAATTCACGCGAATATATAAGTCTTGCTGATGCGAGTACTTAGCTACATCACCTCACTTTTGTGCTTTTGGCGAGTTCTACTTGCACTCACCTCCCAAGTTGCAGGTTTGCCACAAATATTCAATGGTCCTCTCCTTCGAAGATCTTTGGCACGTTGCTGTGCATCTTGCTGTGGCTCAAGCAAAAGCTCAGCAGGAGTGAAGGAATCCTGTTGATGCGAGGAGGCGACCCGGTGCAACCCGTTTGGAGAGACTCTACAAAGACTTCTCACACACAAACACTGACCCACTGCAGTCTCACTTTCAGACTTGCGGTACATTAAAATCCGTTAAAACAGTACGTCGTTGTAACATGGATTAAACAATTATATAAAAATCCTGACCAATTCCCGAGACAGTCTTGAACTCAATGTCTACACAATTGGCATCCTCATTGCATGACCATACAAGGTCCGGTCTTTTATGTTCTTCAAACACTCAGGACCTTCTCTGCCCACCAAGTTCAGCCAGGCCAAAGTCTCAAGCTGTTCGACAACACCCCTAGATACCCTTGGAATGTGCCCAAAAGTAAAGCCACATCTTTTCCAACTGTGTCTGAACTTGTTCCACACGGAACTTTGTTGCTTTGTTTTGTACCCAAGTCCAGCTGTAGAGCCACTCCAATCCAGGCCTGGTTCTTCTTCTTTCGCGGCTCCTTGTACACCTCGAACGCGAAAAACAAAGACTCCCTTGGTGAGTAATTTGTTAGTAACAAGGACGCTACTAGGGGCTCCTGGCCATACTACTAGTAACAAGAGGATGCTACTAAGTGTTGAAACTTGAGAAATTGGAATTGATTCTGACAAGTTCCCCGCCCCATGGCTCACTTGGAGCGAAGCAAGACCTGCTTGTGTCTGACCCACACATACCCACTCTAGATTGAATGCAGGTGAGCTGCTTCAAAAGCATTAAGAGAGCTGTTTCACTGGGAGGAAAGTGTAGAGTGGCATTTAATGCTCTACACCTATAACTATACATGTTCAACTTGCTGCTTGAAACAACTTGGTGCGGATTGGGGATTGAAAACAGCTACCTATACGTCAAGCATTTCTAGGACGCCTTTCTTGAACTTCCACATGAGCACACCTTCAAATCCCCTGGCATCAACAAAGAGAGCAAGGGGATATGCTGTCGAAAGTGAGTCGAGCAAACAGCGATGCCGACCCCCAAATGCGCCTCCTGCGAAATGGCACTGTCAATTGCAAAGGAGGCAGCTCCCAAGATCTCATGTTTTGCGGAGCATGGCAATGTCCTAGAGAGCTCAAACGGTCTGGCACTGTGAAGTTGATATCTTCGCATCAAACAAAACTGGTTTTCGATAGACCCTGATAGACCTATCCAGCTGTTAGAATTGGCTAAAGATAGTGAAGATACTGCCAACATCTGTCAACCTGTATCAACCTGTAAGCTTAGCTGAAAGACGGATTGCTCATGAAGATCACTGCCAAAACTGCAGGAATCAGCCCGCCTGGCATGCGTCACATAAAGGCACGTTTTGTAATATCCGTCAAACAAAGAACTCAAGCAAGCACTTGCATTCTCTCATGACAGACCTTTACCACCCGCAACGAAAGGTCGACATGCATATCATGAAATGGGAACTGCCCAATGGTGATCCTCTTTCATTCTTCAAAAACGACAAAAACTATGTCCCAGCCCAGCCTTTGGTATTTAGCATGACATCATTCGGTTGCAGCAAGTGCTTGGCCCGAGTTGGGATCACCTTGCTGTCCGAATTTGTTTCCACAGAGTGCTAATAATGGTGGGAAATTGGCTACAAAATCCAAAAACATGAATACAATGAAGATATGATTATAAACTGCAGACTAAAGAAAGCGCACGCTATGTTTGCGCAATCCATGGTCAGCAAAAGGTCAACATGGACATGGATTACTGTATTTGGAATTGACAGTTCTTTGAGAACACCGTTGTAGGATTTGGTTTTATGAAGATCACATCACTTTCGACCGTTTCCTCCATCGAGAGTTCCTTCCTTCATACACACTGGTTTTCCCATTTTGGAACGTCACATATACACATACATCTATATATATATATATATGTATGTATGACTACTCCGACTCCTTTATAGAAGGAACCCACAATTTGTGGATCATCAACAAATTGAAGAGAAGGTTCCGAGTTGCGAAGGGTTGTGAACAAGTATGCCGTGCGGGTCCGTCATGGTAGTGTGTGTGTGTGTGTGCGCGCGTGTGTAACTCGCTATCACAAGCGGTAAGACGGATTGGTCCGATTTTGTCATGCGCTTCATACGGTTTAGAGTCTAAACCCTTATAATGCCCTTATATATCGGCACTTTTCCTTGTCTTGTTGGCGTTATTGATGTTTGTTCCTGAGGTTCGTCTTGGTGCAGTTGGGTATGCTGGAATGTTTCGAGCTAAACTCCTACTCTTGGCATGTTCAAGACCAAGAAAACATTCTGAAACCATGAGCCCTCAAAGCGCAAAGCGCTTTGATAGCTGTTTTGCCCGATTCAGGCACACACACACACACACAGAAAACTCCTGCTTTGGCGTTCAACATGTTTGACAAGTCCCAGCTGCTTGTCGGATAGCTTGGCAGAGCGCTTGGGCCTTGACCTCAGGTTCCTTCTCATCCAAGGGCCACAAACTCACTGGATGCGGCTGCGAGCCATTGGAGCCATTGGCACAAACTGCTCCATAGATCACTGCGAACAACACACCTGCACAAGCTCAACAAGCTCAGAGACCAAAAAGCCTTGTGAGGAGCTCCTAATGTTCTTGACTCCGAACTCATCCTCTATAGGAGTGGGACTCACAGCTAAATGCAAGAAATAGGGGTGTGATCCTGAATTGGAAAAGGCTTTGCAAAGCACGAAAGCTCTGAACTCATGGCTCATCAAGTCCACAGGTGGTGAATCACTTGATTGACTTCACCTCAACACTGAACACGTTTCACCGCGGTTCGGCCTTCATGATCATCCTCGAGGTGCCCCAAGTGCTTCATTGCTCTCACCAATTTGCACCGCTCTCCTGGACTTGCTTTCATCAAATGAAGCACAACAGACAGCCTCCATCCTAGTAGCGATGGCCTCCAACCTAGTAGCGATGGCCTCAGATTTGGCAAACATACAGCTCTCAAAGATTGTGTACAGTGTAGAGTATCTCCCTACAACCTGTGGAATAGTTAGCCGCATCAACCTGAAAGGGGAGCCAACCTTTGGTGGTCTAGAAACAACAGCCCAACCTTTCCCAATCTTTCAATGAGTTTCCCATGAGTCTCAAGAGCTTGCTAACAAGCCCAAGCGCTTGCTGAAAAGGCATTTGCTCAAGCTGAGGCTCCATAGGTCTCGATCTCTCGAGCCGACCACTCCACCTCCCCCTCGACATTGCCCTCCTCAAGAGGCTTTGGAGGCCATGCTGGTTTTGAGTATCTAGACCTGCTGCACACTAACCTAAAGTAGTCCCAAACGTGATTGATTTGCCAAAGGCCATCACAAGGTATCGCAAGTATGTGCAACTTGGCACTTCCTCCCTCTACCCCAGGTGATCAACTCATATAATTTTGGCCAAAGGGTGTCAGGCCCCAGTCCTCCGAGTTTCGTTTGGACATTGCTTCGAGCACTTCATTCGCAACCTCAGCAGCCGCTTCAATGTAATAATATACAATTGGACTGGTTCCATCCTGATCCTATTTCCCACCCTTGAAAATGTTATGTCTCAAGAATGATGGTTCAAAAAGTAAGCAACCAACTCTGGGCCAAGTCTGTGTCTTGTAGTGAATGACTCTCCACTTTAGCTTGCTCTGAAGGAATGCTGCCAATCGACCAATTTGAATTGAGCCAACTGATGATTTGCCCAGCGAGTGAGAACTTGATCCCCAGTGAAGCCAAACAACCTCCAAGCACGTCAAGCTCCAGGGATGGGATTCAAGCCTACCACCAGCGCCTATCAACACCACATCCGTCCTCCTTACAAACATAAGACCGAAAATTTGACCCAATGGCCCAAGAACCATCAGTTTTTCATCAACTTGTCTCAAGTCTCAACTTGTCAAGTGAGAATCACAAGGCAAAAGGGTTCCTCAATTGGCCAGGCTACCGCCACGGGCTGTCCTCATCTGGCATGAGCAATGGTGCTAAATCCCGTGTCAAGAAATTCAGGCGGAATCTCGTCCGCTGCAGGCAGCCTGAGCTTTCAAAATCTCACATACCTGAATTTCCTGGTCAAAAATGCAAAAAAATCTTGGCAGCCCAAAGGTTGCTAGAGCTACTGAAGCAAATACAAATAGCTGACGAATGGAAAAGCAGTGAAGCTGAGCAAAAGGCAGTTAAAACCAATGTAAAATTCCTCTAGTTTTTCTCTGCCCGACAGGATTGCACGCTTGTGGCATTTTTTTGGACGTGTAAGACTTGATTCTTGACACCTCCCGTGAAATCTTGATAGGCATTGAGCTTCCTTGCCCTCATCCCTTCGGTCGTTTGACCTCTTTTGTCCAAGAAGATTGCGGGTTCGGCCATGGATCCAGCATCAGGTCTTGCTGGGAGCTGCGATCGATTACTGTATACTTGAATAATAAGATTATCTGTTGCACGCTTGCAAAAACGACATATCACAGCCCATTTCAAAGGGGGCAGAGGTTTCTTTGTTGATTGCTCCACAGCATCGAGATTAGAATCAGAAGTAGATTGGCTGGAGCTTCGCTATACAACGCTGAGTTGTTCAAGAATTGTTGAGTTTGATCTGACAACTTAGGAAGGCAGTGGGGTGTGAATATATAATGCAAAGCCAGTTGTCAGCATCATTTGCGTGACTTTAGCACTGGGGGATTTTGAAGGAAGGTATGTTGCCTGGGTTTCAAACAGCTAACGCTCACGCAGAAAGATTACAGTAATTCGTGCCTATGTCAACACCTTCCACAGTGTCTCAAGGATTGGATGATTTGCATGAAGTGAAGCAGGTCTCACGTGCTGGCGCGTCAATGGACAAGCTTCGTCAACAAAGTGTCTGTAGGTTTGGAATGTGACATTAACAGCCAAAGAGAGGACACGAGAGCCAGTGAGGACAATAGTCAGCAAAACAGCCTAACCTCACAACTCCTCACCTACATGCTTCAACCGAACCAGTTCCCTTCCAGACATGCTTATCGCCAGTCACTCGCATGGTTGGAGTCTCTCAAGCAAATCATCACTACAAGAGGGTCGAGAGGATCCTCCTGGTGGGTCCAGAGATTTGATGGTCAGAGGACATATTTGTGTCTCACCAAGCATCCTTTTCTGCTGCAAGCACTCCTGAGGCGCTCTAGTGACTCTCTCAGAGTCTGCCTTTTCAAGGCTTCAAGGCATGAAAGCCTTCTGATCCACCTTAGTGAAATGCTCCCCGGCAGGAGCCTTGAAAGTTGTCCTGACTTGTACCTCCCGGCAGAGGAAAGTTCCGGAACAACAGACAAGAGGTGAATCTCTTCCACGTTCCCCGTACTTGTCCTGAAAGGATGAAATCAACAGGAAAGAAAACCTACAGGCGTCAGACGCGGCTCAGAAGTCACAGGAGACCATATCTTTCGCTCGATCAGACATCGCAAGGGTCGGAAGCCTGGCTAATCCGTCTTGGATGTACAACTTGGCCGCACGGATGCTATGCCAGCGGCCGCGATCGAGGGCTAAATCATAGGAAAAGCTGCGCTGAAAGAGGTCCGTGGCTCCGCCTCTTCGAAGACTGTATGGCCTAAAGCCAAGCCCTTTGACATGGAAAAGGGAACAATATTCCCGAAATCGCTCCCTGAAGGCGGCAGGTGTTCCTTTCCAGATAGGGGCTTGGAGCTCATGTTGTTCAGCCAAAGCAGACAAAAGTGTAGCCACGACCATGAGCACCCAGGGATGTTGTAGTGGGACGAATTCTTCGGCCCCTTTGTTGAACGAGGTCTTGGTATCGTCAAGCCGTACCAGTCCAACGTCATCCCTAATGAGAACGTCAGCCCCCGTCAAATGCAGTAGCTCTCCGGTACGTAGCAAGCCCTCAAATCCTAGGACCAATAAGCTCGCGAAGGTGAGATCACCCCGGTGGATAGCTATAGCGCCGCAAAAGAGAAGACCAGATCTGCCGTAATTGGTGGAGCTCGACATGGTATCTCAAGCCTCCTCCACAAGCGGAACAGTTTCCAAGACTGGGAAACGCGCCCTTTTGCCCAAGGCGTGAAGAACTGGAGCCCGCAAAGCGCACAGGAGACCTGGTATAAAGGGCGACCGGTTTCCCAATAATGCTCGATCCAGGAACTAACTGCTTCGTCAAGTGCCTCATCTGAGGGCAAGTCCCGGATCCACGGCAGCAGCTTGCGTGTAAACCTGTAGTATTGGCTGAGAGTCTTCTGTGAAACCAACCGATCTTTGAGCACAATTCCCTTGCGCTCCCGGGCACGCTCGGCTTTCGACCGGCGCCCTAAGACAAAAGTTCGCGTGCTTCGTCCCATTAGGCACGGGAAGCGTCGTCTGTTGGGTTCTGTGTAGACTCGACATGCCCGATGATCAAATAGATATTAAGCCCTAATAAGATTGCATTAAGCTGTTGCAAAATGTAATTCAACTTTCGCGAACCCGACCTACCTTTAGCAATGACACTCACGCAAACAAAAGAGTCCGTGGCATGGAAAATTCGAAGATCTTAAGCACATCGGCGGAAGACATGAAACTTGAGCGCTAAAAGGATGGATCTAAGCTCGAGAGCATTGATGTGTTCACCATGCCCCCAGCGGCACCGGAACACCGGTACCCAGTTCCACCAAGACGCCTCCACCCCCTGCCGCGGAAAGGCGCGAGGGTTGAGTATATCCCCTGATGCTACACGAATGTCCGACCCAGTGTGATTGACCTTTGTCAAGAGAACACGGTTGAGGTCGTTAACCTGTACTTCTCGACCCAAAGCCAAGTGCCTAAAGCCGTATTGCAGGAACCGACTCAAAGGCGCCTTAGCCCCAAGGGGTGCGCGAAACCCTGGTGAAAGTCCCATCCGCTCAACTAGCCATCCATAGGTCATCTGTGGAAGAAAGTTACGGCACATCGCTGCCCCACAAATCACAAAGGAATAAACGGAGAACGAATCTCCGAGGAGCGAACACCGGATATCTTCGACGGCACGTTCCCCCCTTTGCTTCTGCTAAGAGGCCGATAGACACACTGCCGTGTGTTCAAAGCCGTAGCCCAGCAAGAGTTCCCTCTCGGAAGAGGTCGCTAAGCGCCACCCTGACTCCTGCCAAAACAAGAACTCTGGTGAATACTGGTAGGGAGGATACCTAAAGCTGTCGGCACGCCACCGTGCCAAAGTGGCTTCGGAGCATCTGCGGATCCCCGCCGGCTTCGGAGGGGGTTTGTCCCGTGAGATCGCTTTCATACATGTGGGGAGGAGGGTCCCCTCCTCCCCACCGGGCCAATGCCACCCTGGCTCGACCCACTGCTCGAAACTTGGAAAGGCAGCCTCTGCATGTACTCGCCTCCAATAGGCGTGTTGGGTCACGCGAATATCAGGGAAAGTATTTTCCAGTGCTTCCGAGCACCAAGCGAATCTCGGCCGTCTCATAGGCACTGAGTCGCTGCAATCCAATTCATAAGGCAAAGTATGAAACAAATGGGAGATCTCTTCAGCGGCTTCCCTATCCATGGAGGACACGTTTTCGATGGTGCGCTTGACCTCAACGGTGGGCCCAAAAACCGTTCGCAAGAGCTCCTCTATGCGTGGAATCTCGTGCACCAACGAAGAGGAAGGTCCTTCAAGTCCCTGCCGGTATGCCTTAGCACTGGATAAGTCGACACAAGGGAACCCGGCCCAGAGATGAATCTCTTTAGCCATGGGAAACTCAAGGAGCCAGTCCCTGACCAACTGTCGGTCGACCAGCCGGACATCGGACACGGTCTTCACATGCGGCCATCGCTTCTCAACGATTCGGTTGGCGGGAGCGTATAGCTCCACAGAGATCAACCCCAATGGTCGAATGTCCAAAATATCATAAATCCTGAAACATCCTCCGAAACCATTGAATAGGGAAACAACTAGAATGGGAACTGAACTTGCGTCTCGGCTCCTGGCAACTGAACTCAACACAAAGTCACGACCCTCTACAGTCAACTGCTCTGCCATACCAACAGCGCCACCCCGCATCGAAGCATCCGAAGCGGTGGTAGCTGTGTCGATGCGAGCCCCCAAAAAGGTGTGAATGCATGGTGAGAGCAGGATGAGATTCCAGAGCTCTCTACGTGTCTGCATCACCAATTTTGGAGTGGGATGTGAAGAGCTAATAAACTGCCAAACTTCCTGAAGAATCCCCATAGCGGGCCGTCTATACTGCAAAGCATGAACCCAGCGACCCACAACAATCTGTACCAACTTCTTGCTAAGGAACCGTTGAGAAAGGAGATACAATGTACACTGAATCAACTTAATAAAACGTTCCCCCGAAATCAAGATTGTTTGAGTGCTGCCGTCAATCCAGGCTCCTAGTTCGTGAATAGCTTCAGCGTCCGACACTCGCTTCTTCTTGGATAACACAAGGCCTGAACGGTCCCATGCATCCTCGACACCTTCGTGTAGAGTGCGCCCCGCCTCACAACCCTTGCCAGGGAGACAACGCTGCCCTACGCAAAAGTTGTCAAGATACACGTGCCACCAAGGCCGATCACGAGCGCAACTCTGTTGGACACAAGAAAGTAAATATGGAGGGAGAATATGGCCTCTAGCTATCTGCGTCTCCGGACCAGCCCCCCCGAGGTATGCGACGGATTCGGCCACCTCCTGCATGACCGCCACCGAAGAGATCCAACCCATCGGAAGGACGTTGCAACACAACACATGCACACGATTGTCCTGTACTATCTCACTGCCCTTGAACTTAACATTAAATGCTAGGTACCTATGCCATGCCGACGGCAGCCGAAAGAGGTAAAAGGCGGATGCCATGCAAAGCCCAAGCGACTCTCCCGGCTCGGTCGTGATGCCCAGCCAGGCCGTGATCGATGGTAGCTTCCTGACAGAGCCCACAATCGGAGTCATCAGGGAATTGGTCGGGATGAGGTTCATGATCAACCGCAGGGTTTTCCTGCCATCCTGAAGTGTATTAGACTTCTCGACTCCGAAAAGACCTGAGAGAACTGGTTGTCCACGAAATTCGAACACCTCATCAAGCGGCAACACGAACAGATATTCCTGTTAACCAATTCTCGACTAAGCATGCTCATCTCGGTGTGGGAACAATGAACCTTGGCCTGCAAAGGAGGAAGAACCTGTCCCGTGTCGTCCACGATAAGGAGATTCGGGTGTTCTAAGAGACGTTTAGTACCTGTTGACACAAGCTTCAAAACATCAACCGACCCTCCATGATCACCAGGTGGAAGTGCTGGGAGGACCTGGTCGCATGTCAAAGGGTGGCACACCGACATCTCCTCCCCCGTGTAGGACAGCCTCACTCCTTTTAGCTCATGGCGGATGCGTTCGATCTCGCCAGAGTGGCTCCCTCCGAGATGGAGAAAGCGGCAAACTGACTGGCCCGTTGAAGCCACGGCGCGGCCCTGCATCTTATTGACCGGTCCAAGCGCCAGCGGCTGCAATCGTCCGCGCGTGCCATTCAGTCCAGCCAACGCACAGAACTGCCAGGCGCGATGCTGCCAGCGTTCCCAAAAGCGTGGCTCCTGGACTTGCAACAATTGTGATTCCTGCAATGCAACCTTAAGGCCCTTCAGCTCCCCAAGGGAAATGGGATAGATCGAACCTCTACGCAGTCCGACCTGTGGCGTGCTGCAGCATTCAAAAACTGTTTGTCGTACTGAATCTGTGAAACTCTGTGACTCCGAGAACTCCACATGGACAAGCAACCAGGCTATACTGCACCCTAACACGCCCAGCGTGTCAGTTCCAACAAAAGCCTCGGTGAAGATCTCCAAGCCACTGTTCGTTGCGCCGTGCATTTGCGTCTTGATCAGCTCGGCGTGTGCCAGCTGCTGTACCTCTGAATCAACTGTCACTTGTCGGTGGGCTTTGTGCCCGCGTCGGGGCGGTCCTTCTCCTTGTCCTCGTTCTTCTTCCCCCTGCCTTTGCTCTTCTTGCTCTTGCCCTTGGGCTGCCACCAATGCGTCTCCTCCTCGGTCTGGTCGGAGTACCAACCGGCGCCCTTCTTGAACTTTCCTTTTCCGCGCTGCGGGACCCACAACGCGCTTGGATCCTGAGCCTTTGTCACCTCTCTTCCGTGCTTTCTTGCAGCCAGGAGTATGCTGTCGCTCAAGGCGGAACCCTCTAGCATCGGCATCACCTCGAGGTGTCGGGCGGCTGTCCAAGAGGAATCCAAGAGGCTCTGATGGATTGCCACCAACCTGCCAGCGAGCACGTCTCCCAGCCTTGCCAAATGCCCTTGCCGCAAAAGATCCAAGCTTGTGGCCAACATGCGCAACTCTCGCAACTCCTTTGGTCGGTGCTGGAAATGCGGCTTTATGGACAAAGCCAGGTAGGTGGTGACCTTCACTCCGGAGGTGATGTCTCTGTGACCTGTAGCGGGGGTGTCCACTTCTGCGTTCTGTTGCAGCTGGGCCGCGATGTGCTCGAGGAGCATATTGAGGACTGAGCCCGGTGTCTTCTGCGACTTCTTCCTCAGCGGAGCTTCCATAGCCATCTCGCCATCGGAGGTCTCCGTGTTCTCTGAACAACTCCTCGAACCTGACCCCGAGGAGTCGGTCCGACCAGCTGAACGGGTTCTCTTCCTCTTCTTCTTCTTCTTCTCTTTGGCTTTCCTCTCCTTCTTCTTGTCCTTTTTCTTTTTCTTTTTCTTTTCTCGACTCCGTGAACTGCCTTTGTCCTTCTTCTTCTTGTCCTTCTTGCCCTCCTTGGCGTCCTTCTTGATGTCCTTGCTTCCTGAGGGCGATGGTGACCGGGATCGCTTTTTCAATGCTCGGCTGCCTCCTCCACTGTGATGACCCTTGTCGGCAGCCCCGGCGGCTCTGAGCGCCAGCTGCTCGTGATAACTGGCCGTAGTACCATCTTTTATGGCCCTGCTGGCTGATGTGCTCCTCACTGCTCTCGCCATCAGAGTCCCTGAGTTCAGAGTCTTTGAGGTCGCCTGTGCAGAGGATGAATCGCCTCCGCTCTCCGAGTTGCTCGAGCCCGACCCTGACTCGCCATCTTCGCCCGAGTCCCCCCCATCCGGAGGTGGATCGGGCGGCGTGCCCCCAAGCATCTTGGCCTTCGAACGCTTGAGCTCCTCCCTCAACTTCTCCACCTTTTCGGGGGCGATGGCACCCGGATCGGATGGCTTGACGCCGTCTCCTTTGCCCTTGTCGTGTCGGGCTTTCTGCTTTGCTCTTGCTGAAGCTGTAACCTCTTTCTCCTCTCTGGCCTCTGTCGCCTTGCTTGACCTGCCCTGGCGATCGGCGTCTGCCGGCCTGGACTTGGGTTTCTTCCGTGCCTCTCGGAGGGCACTTGCACGCTTGACCTCGCCTCCTCTAGCCGGTTCTCCCGGCACGGAACCTGGCGGGGCCACACCGGGCTCGACAACCTCCCCTGTGGCAGGCAAAGTGGGATCCTCGGCCCACTTGCGGGCAGGCCTGAGTGCAGAGGCTGTGAGGTAGCTGGCGTACCCTTCCAAGCTGTACCAACGGAACTCCTTCACATGGATGTCGCCCATCTCCTCGTCGAGGCAAGGATCCGATGCGCAGAAATGAAGCCTGCCACGACGCCTGTTGAACAGTTGGGACAACTCCTTGTTGACCGCTTGATCCTCGCCTCCAAGGCTCTTTGCCTCGACCGTCAGCGAACCGTCTGCTCGGTTCAGCTCGACATGCATCACCATGAAAGCCACCCATACTGACTCCTCTCGAGGGTATGAAGTGTCTCTCAAATCCAGTCCAACGATATCGCCTTTCGCTGGCGCGATTGTAAAAGGTCCAGAAGGCTGAACCGATCACCCTCGTAGTGCACTCTATGGCTCATGGCAACCGGTGCAGGCTGTCTCGACCTTTATCGGCCGAGAGGGTATCCAGCACCACAGGCGAGAGCTTGCGATGCACTTTGACGTGAGGCTGATCCTCCAAACGACCAAGACGTTGGTGTTTGCGGCCAGCTCGATGACGGGGTTTGTTGGAGTGGCGTGTACGATGATCCCGACGTCGTCGATCCTGAGTCTTTGTCTCTCCACGCGATGAACGATGTCCACTGCCTCCTTTGCTCTGTAGAGGCGGAGGGGGCCCTGGCGGCTCTGGTGGGCGGCGAGACCTGCTACCGGCCGGCCTGGGCCTGGGATCTTTGGCTTCGGACTCTGACTCTTCCTCTTCCTCGGTCTCCTCTTCGAAAACCTCCTCAAGCTCTTCCTCCTTAGGTTCCCTGGCTGGCTTGCTCTTCGCAGCTGTCGAAGGGTGTGTAGTCGATGGAGCCGATGACCGCTTCCTGACCAACTCTGGCCTCTCAGGGCGGACCTCCTCGCCTTCCCTGGCGCGCTTGCTAGCAGCCTGGGATGCGGCCTGCTGGTTGGAGTGAATCCCCTGTGTGAGATTTCGGAGGAAGCGGATCTGCCTGACCGTGCTCAAGCAAAGATCCTCCGCCAGAGTACGGGCTCCGGCGCTCGGCCACTGAGAGGCCAGCTGTCGAGTGAGAGCCTCAGCCGCGGAGCAGCTGATGCACCAGGAGTCCCCCTCCGCGGGAGGTGCCTGGTGACACTTGTGGCACCTCATCCACGGATTTCCCGCATGAACTTACGTTTGAGCCACGCAGCATGGATACCGGTCGACACAAATTCCTAACAGGAAACATGTGGGTACGAGTCAGATTGAGTGCGATGCATCTTCGGAAGCATGCTCGATGTCCCAGTTGGGGGATCACACGTTGATCATGGCTGTTCAACCCAGTGGTCCCTCCAGTCGGGTGGAGATAGCTCAAAGTAGTCCTGGACTGTGAGTTCTCGCTTAGGCTTACACCACATAACAGGTGCGTTAATTGCCTTTCTTGGGAACTTACTACTAAGGTTTCTAAGGTTTGATCCATTGCTAAGACCCGCTGGTACGTTGTTCCCTTTTCCAGGCTCTAAATGGGGAGACAAGTTACGATTCGGTGGCACTGTTGATTTGTTGGAATTTGTTTGAAGCAAACGCTGTAAAACGTAAGGAAGGACATGAACACGACAAGAATTGCACCGGCATGGGCCCCAGATAGCGCTTTGACACCAAGGCCAAAAATGAGTAGGAGCAAAGGGCATCGCTACTAGGAGCAATGACGCTACTAGTAGCTGCTGGCCTTACTACTAGGAGCAAGAACCTACAGGGCATCGCTACTTGGAATGTGATGGGATTAGGAGACGGGGGCTCCAGTTGCAGGGTTCTGAGCGAAAAAGACTATTGAGAAGCCTGGTCCCACAGTCACAACATTCCAGAGTTCCAGCAGAAAGTTGAGTGGGGCCAAGAACTGCATACAAAGGTCTTTGTTTATGGTGACAAAGTGGTGGAACCCGGTGGAACGAGCAGCAAAGCCTGACACTAGCTGACTCAACTCTGAAAAAGCTGAGAAACCTTGCTGCAAGACTTCAATCAATGTCAAATCCAGAACTCTGGAAAGCATGGTGCGGACATCGTCAGGTCGGACATCAAGGAGTCTCTGATGCAAACTTTGCCGCTCTTTTCGTTTAGCTTCCAATTGTCTTGTCAGTCTGCGGCATGAGTTGTGACTGACTTGAAGGTCAAGCACAAGGTCCTCCGAGTACGGGAGTGCTCCGCGTTCCAATACTGAGTGTCTTCCTTTTTGTCACGCAACAGAACATCGTGTCAAACCACAAAACCCATCCGGCTGGCTTCTAAACCAAATGCCTGGAAATACTTTCAAAAGGTTCGTACGGAATGATTTCTGAACATTGCATTCTCTCCGCGCACCTACCCACATGAATGAACATTGAAAGCGTCTACATGTCTCCTCCTTCTTGTTCTGCAGGTCCAAAGCCGTCCTGGTGTACATTTGCCGCTCTTGCAAATAGGTGTGATAGGTTATCAACTTGCCTTGCGCGAAGAAGCACTTGGGCGGTAAAGCGAGGTTGTTTTTCGTGTCGTGCGGGGAGAGTGCGGCATTTCTGGTTGAAACAATGGATTTCCCTGATGATTCAAGCATGCAGCTTAGGTTTTCTTCTGCAGGCTGCTATGCTTGAACATTGGTAACTTCCAAACTGTGCTCAACCCAAACCATTGACAGAACACCCCACATGTGTGGAAACCTCCTTGATATACCAACCTCGGCTTGAATTGATAGTCCCAGCAACTGTCGGCACGGTTCTCCACGCCAAAAATCATCCAATGTCGAAGAGGTGCCACCAAGTCGCCTTGTGACAACACGCAGGCACCAGGGATCATGCGAACGATGTAGGCTCTTGTGATGAAACACGATTGTTGACGAAAGAAATCCTGCGCCACTTTTGTGAAGATTAAAATAGCATGGTGCTACTTTTGTTGATCCAGCACCCTCGCACTCCCATTTGACATTGCTTGCATCAAACCTGCAAAGGTCCCATTGATAAAAATTCAGCACCACCTGCCTGCATGACCCAATAATGCTGACTATGACTAGGGGTGTAGGGCTTCTGGTCTGTCTGGATGAGTTATGCGGCAAAGTGGTGCAGAATTTCTTCCGTCAACCGTAGGACATAATGATTTCCCAGTTTGCTCTATTTGGAGCCAACAAGTTAGCAGATGTCAGAACATCTTGATGGAACGTCTTGATGGTGTAGTTTCTGTTTCTTCTGCACTGATCTTTTCAGTCTAGCACACTCCAACTATTTTCGGCTGCCGACTAGTTCTCTTTTTCCTATATTTTTCTTACAATTTTTAAACCTTCTCTCAAGCTTTCTGTTCACTCTGCACCACTTCACGTCACTTCTTTCCACAGCTCCTGCCCCATTCCGCCTATGAGAGTCCGCTCCAGGAGCTCGCCCTTCTTGCGACGGCGTCGCATGAGCACTTGATGCATGAGTTTCCAAACTCCCCAAAGCCAAATCAGTGATGAGCGCCTCAGGTTGCATCTGAGTCAGCTCACTCAGCCCTCTCACCCTCTCACAGTGAGTGGGTCTTCGATTGCTCATGACATGGGGATGGCGGACCTGACTTGACAAACCTGAACGTGATGACAGTGATGCAAAACATGCAAACTTCAAGATCGTCACTACTAAGTGATGCCCGGTCCCAAATCGTACATCGTGGCTATCTTCTTCTAATCAGTGCGTCAAAAAGACTGCCAGCAACTTTGCCTTCAACGTCCAGCAACCCTCATTAACATTGATTTCAACAATTAGCAAACACCCCAGACAAATTCACGCTCGTACGACTGAGCAACAAAGTCGCTGCAAGAAATCCGCCCCCACCGAAGGTGCTGAGGCGTTGTGGAGGCTCGCGTCAACAGCAGCCGGAAGAAATTAGCTAGACTAAATCTTAAGTTTTAGCCTAGGGGGGAACACGTTTCTCCTAGAAATGCAATGTTCTAGTGTTTTTGACAGGTGATTTACAATTGGACCAAGCGCTGGCGATGCCGGCTATGCGGGCCGGATGAGAGCACATTACCGACATCGCGGATGCATGTGCAACCCGGTGGACACTGCATTATTAACATCGTGGGTGCGTTTGGCCGAGTGTCTTGTTTGAGCGGATGAGATGATTGATAGTCGGTGGAGTGGTCTTGTGCACAACGGAGCTGCGCCGGACTGCTGCGGAACCATCTCACACATGGACATCGATCGATTTTTCCGGTCATCGATCTTGTACATCACATGCACAGGTGGCCTGATTGATACAAACAGCAATGACAATTTCCTGGGAGCCCGTGGAGCCAAAGAGTCGGAGGATGCGGGGCTCGGCAGAGTTCAGCAGACACTTTGAAAGCTCTTTGAGAGGCGGCCAGAAGACATCCGGCCTTTCCTGAAAGATGCGCGTGCTTGATTTGTGCACAAAATTGTCCTGGTGTCGCAGCCGTGCTTGGTGTGGGAACAGGTAGCTGGGGCACTGAGCACCGCCGTCCTGTTGCACTTGGTGTTACAACAGCAAGATGCTAGAGCTAGAGCCGCTAGATGTTGTAGGAAGGTTTGTTCTAGACCTGGTCATGGAGTTCCACCCCTGATAGTCCACGCCATCCAACATTTCTACCACGTCGCTCAAGCGATTGTTGCAAGGGGATACGCAGGGAAACTGCAAGAACCCTGTGTGCAAAGGATGGTGATTAGATAGGGCCATAGCGACAAGTCAACGCTTCTTCACCCTTGAACCTGGTTAACATTTCCTCCCGGCTCCGCGAGCACAAGTTGCTACTTCCCGTATCCTCGTGGGGTGCTAATAACACAATTTCCCTTTACTCTGCGCGGGCGACTTCGACCGTGAAGCAGTGTGAATACGAAGAGGAACACCTCAACATCACCTCAACCTTTCTCAACCTCTGGCAACCTGGTAGTAGCACCTCCATAGGCCAAGCGGCCCAGATCTTCCGGCCGCAAGATCATGTGCAAAGCCTTGGTAAACAAGGACTCTGAACACTGAAGACCCCGTTCTCTGTCATCAAAGGAACAGCTGACAATTTCATCGTTGAAGTTGTAGAAATCAAGTGTTTCTTCAGCACAAGGCCTTTTTTAGATAAGAGCAAGCCACGCTCTGCAGCCACATCCAAGTTCTCCTTGGGCACCTCTGCCATGTCCCCTGGATCGTTCAAACAGATCATCCAAACAGAACAAAATCACAAATTTCTTATATACCTCAGTCCTCAGTCTGTCTGGAACACTACGGATGTCAGAATCATCCAAAAGCTCCGAGCACGGGCTCCCCAATCTAAATATATTGT